ATCACCATCATGGTCTTGATCCCTTTACTCATTGTTGGTCCTCCCTCTCTTGGACTAGTCTCCTGGGCCCATGCATTCAAAGCTACTTTCCACTTTCTATTCAGTGAGGTTCAGTGTGATTTATGTTGAGGTCTTTGTTCCAATTGGACTTATGTTTTGTGCATGGGGATAGATATGGATCTATTTGCAGTCTTCTATGTAGCGCACCACATCAGTCTATGCTCTACGCACTACCACAGAGTTCGTGCACTAGGCAAGGGGCTGGAGAATGAAACACACAGACTCACAGACAGAGATGCAGGTCATCCTTGATGCCAAAATCTTTGAAACAGAAATTGTATTGTATTCAAGGGCAGCTTATATAGGGATTCTTAACTGATAGCCATGCTCCAGGCAAACCCACCAGAAACCACTCCCCTGCTATCAGGAACTCCTGAGGGTCTCAAGTTCAGAGCAGCTGCAACCATTACAAGTTGTTTACCAGAAATTCAGGACCTGGGGGATTCATAGCTCCCAATACTTCTACATGTTGATGTCTAGTTATGCCAGCACCATTTGTGGAAGAGGTTTTTTTTTCTATTGTATAATTTTAGCTTCTTTGTCAAAAATCAGGTATTCTTAGGTGTATAGATTAATATCAGGGTCTTTGATTTGATTCCATTGGCCAACCTATCTGTTTTTATGTCAATACCAAGCTGTTTTTATTACTGTAACTCTATAATAGAGCTTCATGTCAGAAATGGTGATGCCTCTGGAAGTTTTTTTTTATTGTACAGAATTGTTTTGGCTATTCTGGTTTTTTTGTTTTCCCGTATGAAGGTGAGTATTGTTCTTTCAAGGTCTGTGAAGAATTGTGCTGGGATTTTGATAGGGATTGCATTGAATCTGTAGATTGCTTTTGGTAGGATTGCCATTTTTACTACGTTGATCCTACCTATCAAAGAGCATGGGAGATCTTTCCATTATCTGATATCTTTCATAATTTCTTTCTTCAGAGACTTAAAGTTCTTGTCGTACAGGTCTTTCACTTCTTTGGTTAGTGTTACCTTACCCCAAGATAGTTTATGTTCTTTGTGGTTATTGGGTATGGTGATGTTTTTCTGATTTCTTTCTCAGCCCCTTTATCATTTGTATATAGGAGGGTTATTGATTATTTTTGAGTTGATTTTGTATCCTGCCACATTACAAAAGGTGTTTACTAGCTGTAGGAGTTCCCTTGTCAATTTTTTGGTGTTCCTTATGTATACTATAATATCATCTGCAAATAGCAAAAATTTGACTTTTTCCTTTCCAATTTGTATCCCCTTGATCTCCTTTTGTTGTCTTATTGTTCTAGCTAGAACTTGGAGTACTATGTTGAATAAATAGGAAGAGAGTGGACAGTCTTGTTCCTGATTTTAGTGGTATCACTTTGAGTTTCTCTCCATTCAACTTGATGTTGACTGCAAGCTTGCTGTATATTGCTTATATTAGGTTTAGATATGTTCCTTGCATCCCTGATCTCTCCAAGACCTTTATCACGAAGGGGTGTTGAATGCTTTTTCAGCATCTAATTAGATGGTCATATGGTTTTTTCTTTGAGTTTATTTATATGGTAGATTACATTGATGGATTTTCCTATGTTGAAACATCCCTGCATCTCTGGGATAAAGACACCTTGATCATGGCAGATGATTTATTTATTTTTTTTGATGTGTTCTTGGATTTGGTTTGCCAGTATTGTATCGAGTAGTTTTGCATCAATGTTCATGAGGGAGATGGTCTATAATTCTCTTTCTTAGTTATGTCTTTGTGTGGTTTTGGTACTGTTGCCTCATTAAAAGAGTTTGCCAATGTCCCTTCTGTTTCTATTGTGTGGAATGATTTGAGAAGTATTGGTATTAGCACTTCTTTGAAATTGCTGTAGAAGGCTTCATTGAAACCATCTGATCCTGGAAATATTTTGGTTGGGAGACTTTTGATGACACTTCTATTTCCTTAGGGTTTATACTTCTATTTGAATTGTTTGTCTGTTCTTGATTTAATTTTTGTATGTGATACCTATCCAGAAAATTGTCCATTTCCTTTAAATTTTCCAGTTTTGTGGATTATGTGTTTTTGAAGTATGACTTGATGATTCTCTGGATTTCCTTTGTCTGTTTTTATGTCCTCTTTTTCATTTCTAATTTTGTTAATTTGCATATTTCCTCTCTGCTTTTTGGTTAGCTTGGATAAGGGTTTGTCTATTTTGTTGATTTTTTCTCAAAGAACCAACTCTTTGTCTTGTTGATTCTTTAGTTGCTTTCTTTGTTTCCATTTTANGGACCGGCGATGAACTCCAGTGCTCAAGTATGAGCTAGGCGCCAAGCTGTGGTCTGGATGGAGTTGAGCTCAGGACTTTCACACACTCCGATATTTGGGACCTTTGCTCCGCATACGGGTAGAATCGAGGCTCCAGAAAACCACAATGCCTTTGGCTGGGACTCCAATGTCTTAGTGTCTAACGGAGCCACCAAGCCCGCGGGAGGGATGTGCGGAAGTGGTGGCTACAGAATCAGGATGGGATTGTTAGAAACCTTCCCGGAGGTGGGGGGGACTGCTGCTACGATTCTCTCCACACGCCACAGCAGGAGACAGCTGGGACAGCGCTACAGCTTCAGCTCCTATTGGTGGCGGCTCCAAACCTGCTCCGCCCACTTCAGCGCACACTGGGGGCCCTTGGGTTCCAACCCTTAAGCAGGGGAGGTCTCTCTAAGCCATCCCTGCGCTCAGGCTTCGGTCTCCAGCCCTCAGCAGCCAACTACCCTGAAGATCACAAATGGACCCGGAGAGATTGCTACGCTAGGCAAAGCAGACCTAAAGGATCCGACTCATTTTTTTTTTTTTCTCAACTGGAAAAGAGGGTCCACGGAAGCCACCAAAAGAAGCACCAAAGGGAGGGTGCAATTTGGAAAAAGGACTAGGGTGGCGCGATTTAGACTTCTCTGCACTGCGAAGCACGAAGAGCCCCATCCTATTTCATTACCTATCCACGGTTCATGCAATCACGCGCACATCTGCCCAAGAGCCCAAGTCCCTGAACAATGGAAGTCTCTAACCTCTCAGGCGCCACCCCTGGCATCACCTTTACCCAGGGACTGGAGAGCTGCAGTGAGAGCCCAAATTCCGGCAGGGACGTGGGGTACACCCCAGGTGGACTCATCTTGCCGAGCCGTGAGCCACCCTTTTCCATCTTCACTGTGCTCGTGGTGACTCTATTGGTGTTGCTGATCGCTGCCACTTTCTTATGGAACCTGCTAGTTCTGGTGACCATCCTGCGTGTCCGCACCTTCCACCGCGTGCCACATAACTTGGTGGCCTCGACAGCGGTCTCGGACGTGCTTGTGGCAGCCCTGGTGATGCCACTGAGCCTGGTAAGCGAGTTGTCAACTGGGCGACGCTGGCAGCTGGGCAGAAGTCTGTGCCACGTGTGGATCTCCTTCGACGTGTTATGCTGCACAGCCAGCATCTGGAACGTGGCGGCCATCGCCCTGGACCGCTACTGGACCATCACGCGTCACCTACAGTACACGCTGCGCACCCGGCGCCGCGCTTCAGCGCTCATGATCGGGATCACCTGGGCACTGTCTGCGCTCATCGCGCTCGCACCGCTGCTCTTTGGCTGGGGAGAAGCCTATGATGCTCGGCTACAGCGTTGCCAGGTGAGCCAGGAGCCCTCCTATGCTGTCTTCTCCACCTGCGGAGCCTTCTACCTGCCTCTGGCGGTGGTGCTCTTCGTCTACTGGAAGATTTACAAAGCCGCCAAGTTTCGCTTTGGCCGTAGACGGAGGGCTGTGGTGCCTTTGCCTGACACCAAGCAGGTGAGAGGGGCTGATTGTGGATTTGGGGGTAGGGGGCCCTGGGAAGAAAAAAATTTAGAGAAAGGGAAGGGTGGGACAGAGGTTGGATATTGAAGAATAAGAGGAAAAACTGTCGCATCTGGAACGCGGGAGGAGATGGCCATCTGCTCTTTCCAAGAGCGCATGGGGTGACTTATCGCCTCCGCTTCTAGCGAACCACCTGCGGGGTATGCACCTGTGAAAATGGTTTCTTTGCACTATCAGGACTAGTGCTAGAACCTCCAAACCTCAGAAGTAGTGTGTGTGTGTGTGTGTGTGTGTGTGTGTACGCGCGTGCGCGCGTGCATATGTGTGTGTGTTTAAAAGAAAAGGTCCATTGCCACTCTCCCTTGTTATACCAACCCCAGTGTGTCCCCTGGAGATTTGGGAGAGAAAAACTGGGTTGTAGTTCCAGTTCTAGACATCCATTGCTTAATATCCTCGTGCCTCCCTTTTTTCATCTTTAAATAAGTTAGTTATTACTTTTGATTTAGTTTAATTTTTGAAGGCAGGGCTCAGGTATTGCAAGATGATCTGGAACTTTCTGAGTAGCTGAGGCTCACCTTGAACTTCTGATCTTTCTCCCCTCATTTTCCAAAAGCCAGAATTAGAGGCAAGCACCACTAGGCTTGGTTTACATAGTTCTGGGAATGAAGTCCGCAGCTTGTCCATTTTGGGCAAGCATTCTACCTACCGAGCCACATCCCCAGCCTTAGGTCCTACTGTATAAAGCCCCTAGTGAGGATCCCATTTACTGAAGAATGAAAAAAAAATCTACATAGCCCAGACTCCTGGAGGGGGGCAGAACTGGCAGAGGAAAGGGCGTCTCCACCGTCTGACAGTTTAGCTGCAACAGTGGAGCTGCACGTTCAAAGAGAGACCCTGTCTCAAAAAAAATATTATGGAGAAAAATTGAGAAAAACACCTAACGTCAAAGAACTCTGGACCACACACACACACACACACACACACACACACACACACACACCCATATATATATACACATAAACACAAAGTGTGAACCAGAAAAGGGGTCAAAATTAAAGAGAGCCCGAGATAGGAAAAGCTGCTGTAGTTGGTTTTACTTTTACAAAGTCAGCCCAGATATTAAGCTACCAGACAAGTGCATGCATTTTTAAAAGCAGATTCTTTTTTGTTTTAATTAAATGGCAGAGGAATTTTTTTTTAACACAAAACAGGAAGGTCAAGTCTATAATTGGAAAATGTTGGGAGAGCTTTATTCAGAATTAATGATGTTCTTTGAAAGGTACCTCGGAAACGCCTGGGGTGATTATAGTTTCTCCGTCTGATTGCAGGGCGAGGGCTGACTTTTAATAGCCGCAGCAATCTAGTTATGCACCTGGGAAAATCACAGTGGACTGGATGCCTGAAAAGCCCGCCAAGCCTGATTTTGCTCTTCGTTTTGGCAGAAGAAACAGTTTTTATTTGCTCGATTGATTTTGGTTTGGTTTGGTTGCATTGCCGGCTATCAAACACAGGCGCTTATACAAGACAGGCAAGGACACTACCACTGGGCGCCGTCCCCAGCCCTTTCAGTCCACTCAGACGCAGCCCTTTTAGGCAGGTGATGTGAACAGGTGACAGGACAGCTGACTGGCCAATCAGAGGCAGCCTCTGATGGGGAGAAAGCTCCAGGGGGCAGGGCTAGAACTGTGCTGAGTGACTCTATAGTAGGAGGGCCCGGAAAGAGCCCCTCCCTTCTGGGTCTTGACTGCTACAATACTCAGCATCATCTCTGTCATGGTGCGAATGTGAAGTGTCCCCCACAGGCTCATGTGTTTGCGTGCCTGGCTTCCAGCTGGGGAATGCTGCTTGGGAAAGATGTGAGATCTTTTAGAGGCACAGCATCCCTAGAAGAAATGGCTCACCTAGAATGAGCACTGAGAGCCCAGCCCTACTTCCCTCCTATGTTCTGCTTCCTGATTGAGAATTCAGTGTGACCAGATACCTCTTACTCTTGATACCACAGCTTCCCCACCGACAGACAGTGTCTGAGAACAGTATGCAAAAATAACCCCCCCCCCAAGTTGCTTCTTGTGAGACATCTGGTCAGAAAAAACTAGAAAAATATTTAATGCCGCAAAATGATTAATTTGTCTTTCCTACCTTCCTCTCCCCCACCCCCCTTCCTTTCTTTTTCATTCATTTTGAGACAGGTTCTCTCTATCCAGCCATGACTGTCCTGGAACTCTCTCTGTAGACCAGGATGGCCTTGAACTGCCTGACTCTGCCTCCCAAGAGCTGTGATTAAAGGTGTGTGCCAACACTTCCAGCTGATTGTTAATTTTTAACTGTCAACTTTGATATAACCTAGAATAACATGGCAAGAAAGTAGTTTTTTATTTCTTAGCCTTTTTTCTTTTTAAAATTGATTTATATTGAGCTCCCTCTGCTCCCCTCCCTGCCTCTCCCCTCCCCCTTCAACCCTCCTCCAAGGTCCCCATGATCCCAATTTACTCAGGAGATCTTGTCTTTTTCTACTTCCCATGTAGGTTAGATCTATGTAAGTCTCCCTTAGTGTCCTCATTGCTGTCTAAGTTCACTGGGATTGTGGTTTGTAGGCTGGCTTTCTTTGTTTTATGTTTAAAAACCACCTATGGGTGAGTACATGTGAAAATTGTCTTTCTGTGTCTGGGTTACCTCACTCAAAATAATGTTTTCTAGCTCCGCCCATTTTCCTGCTAAATTCAAGCTGTCATTTTTTTTCTGCTGTGTAGTACTCCATTGTGTAAATGCACCACATTTTCCTTATCCATTCTTTGGTCAAGGGGCATTTAGGTTGTTGCCAGGTTCTGGCTACGACAAACAATGCTTCCATGAACATAGTTGAGCACATGTCTTTGTGGCACATTTGAGGATTCTTTGGATATATACCCAAAAGTGGTATTGCTGGGTCATGAGGAAGGTTGTTTCCTAATTTTCTGAGAAATCACCACACTGACATACAAAGGGGCTGTTCCAGCTTGCATTCCCACCAGCAATGCAGGAGTGTTCCCTTTCCCCACAACCTCTCCAGCATAAGTTGTCATCAGTGTTTTTGATCTTGGCCATTCTTA